TAAGTTTGCTTAAGCAGGTTAGATCTTTGTTTGTTTTAAATAATTTACGAATTAAGTTTCATGGGGAATTAGGTGTGGAAGGTAGAGGAGGCAGAAAATGCAGAGAGAAGGGCTCAGAGAATTAAGAAAGGAGCAAGGTGAACCAAGGAGAAGTTTCTGTGACTGAGACTAGTTCTTCCCTGGCATTTCACCCGGCCACTCTGCATGGCTGTTTTCAAAGGCACAGAGCACATCTTGTTCAACTCCAGCACAGAGTTGGTCCCTGATAAATGCTGACACAAACGTGTCTTGACAGCAGTGCTCTAGGCACTAAGTCACAGGAGAGGGGGTCTCACTTAGAGCTCAGCACTGAAGTAACTGCTCAAATGTGCAAGGTAGGGATGAAACTGTACACCGGAAATCCGCTCTGCCTTCTTCCTTCCTTTCTGATTACTGCACCTTGCTCATGGCCTCCTCTCCCCTACTAATCTGGATGAGTTTCTAAACAATCTCCATTAAAACACAATAATAAAGGAAAAAGCAGAAAGCAATCGCTCCTGGGCTTGAAAGGCAGCATTGTAGGGGCCGGTCAAAAGCTCTGAGTAGCACCCAGTTCTCTCTACAAGATCATATTGATGCTTCTTCAAAGACAGAGTAGTTTCCGTCCCCTAAATTAGTTGTTAACAGTTCCCTGGATCATTTAATACCTCATTAGCGAGTCCACTGCTGGGTTAACTCAAACTAAGTTTAATTAAACTTCAACCTGTTCAAGTTCTACAACAGTAACAGAATTTACCTAGGTTCTTTAGAAGCGAAGTGCAGTGAAGTTTTTCATATGGAAAGCGACTTGTGCAATCACTGTAAAAGCCACCTATTAAATCTATGTATCCAATTCACTTTGTCTTTGATGTGGCCATGATGGCAGCATGCAACTACACATGCAAAATACTGTACACAAAGCACTAAATTATTTTATATCCAACTGCAGTTCTGGAATTTTCTTTAATTTTAATTTTAGTGATTTTTATGGATATTTTGATTCATTAAAAAGGTCTTGAATCTAAAATCCATGACAGAATACGGTCAGTGACGCATGAAGGGCAGGCTAGCTCTCCAACATTTGGTGGGCTTGTAGAAGAACTTCCTGGGTTCTTCTACTCACCTGTTCTAACTTGATATTGCCACTGGAAGAGAGCCACTGCAACACACTTTCTACTTACAAAAATGACAGTAATTCTAGGGGACATGGGAAGGGCTGGCCAGGAGGAAGGAAACAGGGGAGCTGCAAAAGTGAGCAGAACTGTAGCTCACCCAACAGCAGCACAGACTGTCTCACTCTCAATCTCATTTTAAGCAGGATTTAGTACATTTAATGAATTATTTTAAAGCTCTACTAAAAAATAGTAACATGCAACTTTAATAGAAATAAAAATGCTCCCTCCCCTGCCACCTACTCCCAGGAGCAGTGCTGGTTTTGTCTGCCTTTCCTGGCTTTAAGCTCCACAACGTTAAACCTCTTTTGTTCTATCATTTCTCAGTGGAGTTTGGGAAAGGTATCCTAGAACACAGTCTTTCTAGAGCATGCTTGCTCCCTGAATCACCACCAATTTGCATGACATTACTATTTCTAATTCTTCTTTTGGCTACATATCTTCATAAATTTAAAAACATAAATGTCAAATTTTGTTTATAAATTTATAGTAGACTGTTGATTTTTTTTTTAAATTAAGTATAGTGACAGCAGTGGGAGAGTATAACGAAGCCATGGGGAATTTATTGTTGTTTTGTTTAGCCTCACTCCATGGCCCAGGTTGGCCTTGAACTCACTAGGTTGACTAGGCTGGCCTCAAACCTGCAGCAATCATTCTGCCGTAGCCTTCCAAGTACTGGGATCATTGGCATCTGCCAGCATGCTTGGTTGAGGAAAGAATTAGAAGACTGTAAAGATGTTGCTAACCTGCCTGAAGCACACAGCAGAGACACACACAGGTCACTCTGTGGTTCTAGTGACAGCTCAAAACAGCTAATAACCTAACACCCATCGACAGAAGGACAAAAGGCTGCCCCAGTACACTGGAATACTATAAAACTGCAAACAAGTGACTGAGAAGACCACCCCCAACACGAGGAACTCACAATGCCATAAACACAGCAAATTGTACTAAGATACATATAACATGAATGACTCATGTAATATTTAAAAACACAAACAATAGGGACAGTCTTTATTATTGGAATCTTGTCTATTCCTACAAGTGTAATAGAATGTAAAATTTCAGATAGCAGAACCTACATGACATTTTTGAAAATAGGAAAAACTATATTGTGTCCTTGACTCATTCCAAATTTCCCTACCCTGCAAACTAAACACTATTAGCTACTCACATAACTATCTACCCTGCTTTCACCCCCACAAAACAGAGAACACCGCATAGACTTTCCAAAAACTATACAATATACACTCCTCTCACTTGTGTAGCATGGGGGTCAACAGACCTCAATGTGGCATTGTCCTTGAATGTAGTAAAGACTGCCTTTGCACTGCAGCTCCTCTGCTATCTTCATGGGCATTTCTACATACCACAGAGCATGCTAAATACTGTAATAATACGGCACAATACATTTTTTGTTGTGGCTTTTCGAGACAGGGTTTCTCTGTGTAACCCTGGCTATCTTGGAACTCACTCTGTAGACCAGACTGTCCCGAAACTCACAGAAATCTACCTGCCTCTGACTCCTGAGTGCTGGGATTAAAGACATGTGCCACCACCACCTGGCAGCACAATATATTTTAGCAACTTAAGCAGACAGGTGCCAAGTCCTTTGAAGAAGGGCTGGAATATGGCTTATATACTCTCCATGGCCTCCCCTCAGACTTATGCCCAGCTACCATCAATTTTGGTGATGTACAAGCAAAGCTCATGACAGTGGGTTTTGATTCATTTAACTCAAAATTTTCCAAGTTACTACAGCAAACATAGACAGCAAGCTTTCCAACATTCAGTGAAGAAGCTGACAGATGACCCCAATCCCTAACCATCTGAGTTGTTCTAGCAGTGGAATCTTCTAATCTGGTCCCAGACCTGGGAAGTATAAATAAGCTATTCTTGTGCCATGACTGAGTTCCTAAGCCACAGAATTTGTGAGCATCACACGGATGCCAAACAACTAAGCTTTGGTGGTGGCTGGAAAGGCAAAACCTGGAAAAGCAGTGCTAATTCAACACTTTGCCTAATTGCCATATTTCATTTTCTCATCAGACATTTTTGATGAGTACAAATAAGTCATTTATTCATAAGTACTTCATATCATACAGATCGAGGCTCTAAGAAATTACCAATATTAACATTGATAGCTGTTAGCTTTTTCTTACTCTAAACCTATGCACCAAACTAAATAATCTGTATAACAAACTAGTGAGGTTACTATACTGTCTGTCTCTGAATACATGTGTATCTCATATCCAAACACACTCTCTCACATCAGAAAGAGAGGTAATAAATCTATGTTGTTGTGAACTCAGGAAGCAATTGACAAGGCTCCAATTCTGTCCAGAAGTAATATTTTCTTCCTGAACAGGCAAATGCATAAAATCGAAGACAACAACACTAGTTCCAAAAGTCTCTTCATAGAGATAACAAGGATCTTTGATAGATGGGAACAAATATAAAGTCAGTTTGGGTTTCAGAAAAGTCTTAGTCAAAACCAGACATCCTACTTAACTGGTTCGAATGTAGGCTGTAGTCCATCTACAGTGCCGTGTACTACACATGTACATCTACAGTGCCACGAAGAGCTCAAGGCTGAGGATGTAAAATCTGCCACACCCACAATGCCTCAAAAGCAGCAAGAGAACAAGTTAAATTAAGTACATGTCATACTGCTAGTAGAAAACTTTGTTATCTTCTTCCCCCCTCCCTCCCTTCCATTTTTGATGATGTAGGGTCTCTAATAGTACAGGCTGGCCTCAAGATACATAGCTAAGGAAGACCTTGAATAATTCTCCATTTCCAAAGTGCTATGATTATAGCCTTGTGTTACAATGTCCCACCCCTACAAAGACTTTTAAAAGTAAAAACAGAAAAACAAAGACTCAGTTACCCTCCTTTCATAGTAATTGGTCAACACTGCCCTCTGGTGATGCAAAGTAATAAACAAGGCAACTTTGGATAGACATCCCACCAATGACAAAAATACATTTAAGACGACCTTCATTATGTATTGTTCATTAAATTAGAAACTTTAAGAGGGTTTGAAATAAAAAACACTTACTCTGGAAACATGCTATTGAAGACACACTATGAAGATCACTATGTTAGTGAGTTACATTGCCACATAAAACATGTGATTAAGAAAGACCCTGAAGGCAAATGTCCTAAAGTCTCATCATGTGTAATTCAGGCATGGTGGCGTACACCACACACCATTAATCCCAGCACTTGGGAAGCAGAGGCTGTGAGCTCAATGCCAGCTGGATCTACATAGAGTCCTAGGATAGCCATACATACAGAGACCCTGCAAAGAAAGAAAGAAAAAAAGGAAGGAAGGAAGGAAGGAAGGGAGGGAGGGAGGGAGGGAGGGAGGGAGGGAGGGAGCGAGGGAGGGAGAGAAAGGAAAGAAAAGAAAGAGAAAGAAAGAAAGAAAGGAAGGAAGGAAAGAAAGAAGGAGGGAGGGAGGGAAGAAATTCTGCACAAGGAAGTCAGTATAGTTATCAAAGTTTATTTAACACACTGAAAAGCATTTCTGGACAGTGTTGCCCTGTTGGAAGCCTGACTCCTTTGTTTTTGGTTTTTGTTTTTTGTTTTTTATTTCTTAGTTTTTCGAGACAGGGTTTCACTTATAGCCTGGATTGTCCTGGAACTCACTCTGCCTCCCAAGTGCTGGGATTAAAGGCATGCGCCACCACCGCCCAGCTAGAAGCCTGACTCCTTATTTGGGGGAAAAAAACCTCAACCAAAACAGCACAACTGACTGCTAAGGTTTTCACTAAGCCAAAGAAATGCTTCCTGAAAAAGACTTACCAAGACTGGTGCCATCCTGCCCCATGATACACTTCATGGAGGTGATGATCTGCTCCATCACAGGTGGTGACATCGACGTGGCATACACAGCACTGTGAGAATGTGTGCGAAGGTAGTCTATCAGCTCCTGCAGAAGCAGAGGCAACATTTAGAGTACACAGGTATGCAACTGCTTTCCTTCTAGGTGTTACTGAACTCTTCCCTTCAACAGCCTGGTACAGGGTGCTAAACTGAGACTAAAGTCAGCTAATACTGTCAAAGCTCACAATTGGCCAACAAGGATGTCAGAAACAGGGCAAAGTCCAAGGTTAATTCAAAGATGAATTAAGAAAGTACTAATTTAGCCAGGCAGTGGTGGTGTATATCTTTAATCCCAGTACTTGGGAGGCAGAGACAGGCAGATTTCTGAGTTCAAGGCCAACCTGGTCTACAGAGTGAGTGCTAGGACAGCCAGGACTATACAGAGAAACCCTGTCTCGAAAAAAAACCAAAAAAACAAAAACCAAAAAACCAAAAACCAAAAACCAACAAAAAAGAAAAAACAGAAAAGAAAAAGAAAGTACTAACTTGCTTTTTGACAGACAATAATTTGCTTCTAAGTGTCCTTTGTATCTCGCCCTATACACATATTGTCTATCCTTATACTCCTAAGTAACAATTTTTCCTAGGCTGAGAGTGTATCACTCAGTGATGTAACATACAATTGGCAGGTGTGAGTTCAGGTGTGAGCAGGTCATAGCTGCTAAACCAATGCTCCAGATCCTCATTTAAATCTTTAAATGAAACATATATAACAAGAATCTAGTACAGGCTGGAGAGATAGCTCGGTGGTTAAGAGCACTGACTGCTTTTCCAGAGGTCCTGAGTTCAATTCTCAGCAACCACATGGTGGCTCACAACCATCTATACTGGTATCTGATGCCCTCTTCTGGTGTGTCTAAAGAGAGTGACAGTGTACTCACATAAAATAAGTAAATCTTTTTTTAAAAAAAAAAAAAATCTAATCCCAGCACTTGGGAGGCAGAGGCAGGCGGATTTCTGAGTTCCAGGCCAGCCTGGTCTACAGAGTGAGTTCCAGGACAGCCAGAACTACACAGAGAAACCCTGTCTCGAAAAACCAAAAAAAAAAAAAAAAAATCTAGTATACTATTTATTGGGTGTGGTGGTATAGGCCTATAACCTTAATCTCTGGGAGGATGAGGTAGGAAGACTGCAAATCTAAGGCCAGTCTGGGCTACAAAATGAAAATATGTCTTTAGTGAAGAGGGGTGAACAGCCATGTTTGCATCAAAAACAAATAAAAACAGACAACACAACTGTGAAGTAGGCAGATGCTTGTAATTTGCTGCATCCCAAAGCACAAATACCTTGTATTGATTCTGAAATAACTTATATGATTTACTATCTTTAATTCATATTAATATCATTTAACTCCCAAAGTAAGATGACAAAAAAAGGTAAAAATCCATAATAAAATCTACCAAACCTGTTCAGAAGCAACTGACAAAAGCTTTAGAGGAGTCTAATGGTCTAAAGGCCATCACTTACTAGACACGTCTCTCTTCTGTCATCAGTGTCCTATCTGGAAGGAACAGACATCTGTTCATGTCTTCCCAGGAAGTCACACAACATGGAGGTAACGATGTACAACTCTAGCAGAATTTACTACAGTAAGCCAGGTGAGGACTGTGTACATCCAGAATGACACAACAATCACAGGCTGAGGCCCCTGCCTAATGAGAGCAACGTGTTTTTTGTGAGGTGTATGAATGATGCCTGCAGAAACACACCATGCACACAAACCAAACTCAGTGCTCACAAGTGTTATGTAACAGTTCGTGTAGTAAATTGCTTTTCTACACACAATTCACAGCAAGTGTGGCACAGACCTAAATCCAGAAGAGAGCATTGATGAAAGATACCTGACGTCTTCATACAATGACGTGTATACCAGCACTGTCCCTAGAATAATGCTCCTCTCTGCAACAGCCCTCACTGTCAACATCTAGAAAGCAGCTACTATATCTCCATGGGTCTTTTTGTTTTGTGCTGTTTTTTAATTTTTTAGAAACTTTTCTTTGGTTCTTAACAAAACCAGTAAAACTGAAATTACAATTATCAAATGTAGCATTTTGTTCTTCAACTTTCTGAGGCAAAGAAAGTGTTGTGTGATATTTAGAACTCTGATGGGCCAGGTGAAATGGCACATGCACCTAATCCTATCAAGTGGGAAGGGGAGGCAGGAGAATCAAGAGGTCAAGTGCTACACAGCAAGCACTCTGACTAACAAACAAGGTGGTCAAACATTTTCCTGACTTACAGACTTGCACAACTTCCTGATCAGGTCTTCATATAAGGACTGTCTGACGTCTGTTTCAAAGCTAATGACAAAAATCTGTTTCTGGGGTGATATGACTAGTTTAATAAGTACATTCCAGCCACCAAATACCCGTAAAGATTGAACAGCCTGGCATCAACAAAGGACAGAACTTGGTATCAGGTCACAGATTCCTCTCTCATGTGTGGCTTCCTTGGCAGTATCATCATCTGTCATGTAGAATTGGTTCATAACTGCTGCATCTAGTTCACACATCAGAATTCTCTGGGTTTGATCTGACTGCCTGATTGTCAAACTCTGGTGGATGCAAAGTACACAAATAACTGTGGCCAGAATTTATGTGCCCCATAACCAATTTAAGAAAACTGCACAAGGGAATCAGTAGAAACAGAAATGGACAAAAAAAGTGTAATGAGCTAAGAATATGATAAAAAAAAGTATATATATAAGTAAAACTTTAAAAAAGAAAAAAACTACACTGTAAAATTCCTTTTTCTCCTTGGAAATTCTGAACGTACATACCCCTAACAAGGAAGGCTTTGTGAAACTCTTCTAAGAATAAAAGGAAGTGTGAGCTGACTGAGACCCACCATAACCATGACCAAGCTTTAAAAGGAGAAACTAGCTGATACCACATCTTCAAAACAAAGCATCTCCTGTAGATAGACATACTATTTTCAATGAGTACACAGCCTTCTTGCTTCCTGCTTGCTGGTTTTTGCCATTATTAGCACTGCACATCCTTCTGAAGTATTCCCCTGATAACTTGGGGTGGTACACAGATCCTTAGATCCTTGTTCTGTGCTGTCAGAGAACCAAACCTCTAGCAGCTTTTTGATCCCCTTGGGGGAATAATGTTTAGCTTTTCTTAGCATGAAGCCATGAAGGACCAACAACTACAGAAAAATCAATTATACTGAATCTCTTTTCCTACTCCTATTTCTACGGGTTATTCTAGTTGTGTTACAAAATTTCAGGTTCTTCTAACTACAATTACATGTTAACTTAAAGAGATGTTATAGTTTTTGTTGCTGTTGTGAGTCAATGTGGAACATGTATCTGTTGGTAGTAATGGCAAAAACAGTGCTGTCTCTTGCCAGGCGTGGGCTCCCATCACATTGTATACACTGAGAACGATTATTCTTTAAGGCTCCAATTGTTTAGTTATAAGAAGAAATTCAAGGCATTTATGAGTACCTACTACGTGTGATGCTTGATATACATTTCTTAATGTTATAGCAAGTTTTTCTTCTTGTCTTTCCTGTGGTACTGAGAGTCAAATTGAGGGCAGCACACATACTGGGCCAATTCTCTACTACTGAACTCCAGGCCTGGATCAAATGCTTTTTTTTTCCCCCATTTTTCTTTTCTTTGTAATAGCTCTATAGAAATATAAGCCATATTCCATCATAGTTACCTTTGTAAAGTGTATAATTCAATGGATTTTTGGCATAGCGCTGTGTGACCCTTACCACTACCTAATTTTAGAACATTTTTTTACCCTACAAGGAAACATTGTATCCAATTAGCAGTTACTTTCCATTTCCCCATCTCCTTAACATCTGGGAACTACTAAATCTACATTCTGTTTCCACACCTATTCTAGATAAAACATATGAAAAAAAAAATTAGAATGTAGTTTAGAAATGTAGCATGACATGTCCTTTTGTGATTCACTTCACTTAACGTATATGCAAAATGTAGCATAGGCACACATAATTCTTAAACCATTACCACATTACAAACCATCCATACTTACTTTACTAATAAGGAAACTAAAAGTTAAAAGTGCTTTCCCCAAGGTCTTATGAAGCAAGGGCATTCAAATGCAGACTGTACATGATTTTGCATGGATTCTTAACTGCCTTAGAGGCCATTTATAACGTTGAAAAACAGATGCTCTGCAGAGTCTTAGAGCTAATAAAACCTTCTCTTCTTGTTTGTGCATTCTTATCTTCCATTCTCATTGGCTCCTGTGACAACCCTTTCAAAGTGTGAGCATAACTCAAACCCAACAGAAGACTATAGCAAACAAGAAGCACCTCTGTGTGCTCTTTTACAAAAGAGTATTCTATATCTCAGACCAGAATGTAGTTTAGAAAGAAGCTCAAATGAACAAACAACAAACAATGAACAGAACCAGCCTTTAGCTCTGCAAGAGACATAAGAGTCACTCTCCAGGCATCTGAGGTAGGTTGTTCACCAGCACTAGAACACAATCCACAAGTACTTCCAGGATCCTAATATCTCAGGTACAGGACCCCAACTCCTACACAGTTCCCAAATGCAGTTGGTGACTCTAAAGGCCTATTTTACCTTCTTGCCTCCAATGTATCCTCCTGAAGCACCGAAGCTCTTTGTGAACGTTCCCATCATAACATCTACATCCTCAGGATCCAGGCCAAAGTAATCTACCACACCTCGCCCTGAAGGGCCAAGAGCCCCAATGCTGTGAGCCTCATCCAGATACAAGTACGCCTTGTATTTCTTCTTGAGAGCAATCACTTCAGGAAGGCGAACAATAGACCCCTCCATGCTGGCAAAACAGGGTTAAAAATAAAACAAGAGACCTTTTAACTCTTAAAATTAGCAACTGTTCACCTTAATTGTTAATGTTTTGAGATTATTGCTTTTTAAAATAAACCTGAGAACTCTACTTCTGGTTTTAAACTAAGTTATGTAGTTTACAACAGAAAAATTAAAGTTACAGAAAATTGTTTATGTGGGGTTAGGGATTAAAGCTGGGGCCTTGAATATGCTAGGAAAGCACTCTACACCTACGCACATCCCCAGCCCACGAGTCTCCTTAAAGCTTGCACTCATAAGAAACATTAGACTCTGTGCTCATTATACATGCCTTGAGTTCTTGCCCAGGGCTTCCTTCAATGGGTTGTAGCTCTAGGTTGCTTTTCATCATGGTCTTTATCACAGCAATAGAAACCTAACTAAGGCATGCTGTTCATATTAACATATTAAATTAACATATTAAAAGAAAAACATCTGAAAATTAAAATTTAGCCTGGAATGAGGGAATATGCCTGTAAATCCTAGCACCCAAGAGACAGAGGTAGCATCAGGTGTGTAAGGTCAGTGTGGGATATAAGAGACTGCATCTCAAAAACTAAAAGCAAAACGAAATTTATTTTAGTGTTAGTTTGTTTTGTGTAAGACTGGAGATTGAATCCAGGACCTCATTTATGCTAGACAAGAGTATAACCACAGTGCAAGGTTCTTGCTATGTACCCTGGGTGGCTCTCAAATAGATGGTTCTACTATCTTAATCTCCTGAATGCTGGAATTATAGCTATGTACCACTATACCTAGCTTTGTAATTTAATAAATTAGAATCTTTCTGTGTAAGCTTTTCATAAGCAGTAGAAAAATAATGTCACAAAAAGACCCTCGTGTTCAGCAGGTCCTCTGTCTCCAGGTATTTATAACAAGTCATGGCCACTATCTCTTTAGTTTCCAGAAGGAGCTAGTCGAGCTAGCCTGTCAGCTGAAAGCTTACTGACTTTGCAGGCCTACGCCACAGTTAAGAGAGGTAGAGCATGATTACCTATATATGCCTTCCACGAGGATTAGGATTTTCTTCCAGGGCCTTCTTGTCCGAGGCTGACCATAAACAATGGCATCTTTTAAAAGCTTCTCCAAGCTTTGCATATCTATGGCACAAAGAAAGAATTCAGTCCCAAAGTGTTTTTTTCCTGACAGTATTAGAAAAATGTGAATAAGCCGGGCAGTGGTGGCACCTTCAATCCCAGCACTTGGGAGGCAGAGGCAGGTGGATTTCTGAGTTCGAGAGTTCAAGGCTAGCCTGGTCTACAGAGTGAGTTCCAGGACAGCCAGGGCTACACAGAGAAACCCTGTCTCGAAAAAACAAAACAAAACAACAACAACAAAAAAAAGTGAATATACATTTCTTATTCAGAAATGTGTCAGACAGCAGAGGGCATTAACATAATTAGAGCTGGGGAGAAAAGATAAGTTATTGCTACCTTAGTTGACATCTAAATGTGACAAGTGTTCAAAGTCTGATTGCTTTAGTTGCTTAGGTAGAAAATGACTACTGTTTTATGTTATATTCTCTGCCTTTGAACTAGCTTTTCTTCATTTTAAAAATCAAACTGCATCTCTAACCCAAGTAGTTCATCCAGAAATGAAAAGTGGTTCACACAGAACTAACTGTATAAAGACCAAGCCAGAGTGAGTAAATCACTCCAAATACATGTGGTTCTTAAAAAGCTGGTATGCATGGACTTGAAGACATTGCTAAGAGTGTTAGAACATTTGTTGTTCTTGCTGAGGACCAAGGTTTGATTTCCGGTACACACACAGCGATTCACAAACATCCATAAGTCTAGATCTAAGAGATCTGATCTCTAAGAGCACCAAGTATGTACATGCTGGAAAACGCTCTCAAAGGGAATGACCTATTTCCTTTTACCCAGATGTATTCAATAGTTCCTTAATAAACAGCCTTCTCTTCACACGGTTACAAATGCGCCAGTGTGGGGCATGCATGAGTCTAAGCTTAGGGTAGCTCCTATGCTTGTTCCACATGCACTCCATCAACTGCACTGTTGAAAGACAGAGTGGCTGGTGCTATCTTTAATAAAAACCTTACTTTTCCTCTTAAATGCTTTGAACTCCACTGTTCCCATCTCTATAGATTTTATACTTAAAATATTTGTTCTGAATGACATTAAAAAATTTTTTTCACCTAAAATCTAAGCAGCACTAAGTCTGAGGTAAAGGTCATGCTAGTGGGAGACACTACAGGCTTTGATTCTGTGTTCTTTACTGCTTATCACTGAAAGGGGGGTGGCTTAAAACTGCCCATCTTTGTTCTTTTTCTAGTCAGATTTTGAATAAGGGAAATGCAATAAAACACACAACAGGGTGAACTAAAGGTCACAACTGTACTAAACCTATCAGTATTTGCAGGACCACCATCAGCCTGGCAAGAGTGCAGCACTCACCACGGCAGCAGCCTGCCTGACTCAGAGCCTCTGCTCAGTGTGGAGAGCAGGAGTCAAGCAAACCTGTACTCACTGTTGCTGTTTCCTATGTTTATGTACAGAAAGGAGACGTACAGTAAATAGTGATTCAACATGTTAGACAAAAGGAAGACAACAGGAAAAAGAAAGCTGAATGTGGTTGCGTATGGCTGCAATCCTAGTACACAGAAGGCTAAAACAGAATTCAGAGACAGCCTAGGCTATATGGTAAGTACCAGGCTAGCCAGGGCTACATAATGCGGCCCCATTCCAAAAATCAGCAAGCAACAACAATGACAAAGTCTACAAACTTCAGCAAAGGGAGCAATCTATATAGCAAGAATGCTTAGGGCGGTGGTGGTGCACGCCTTTAATCCCAGCACTTGGGAGGCAGAGGCAGGTGGATTTCTGAGTTCGAGAGTTCAAGGCTAGCCTGGTCTACAGAGTGAGTTCCAGGACAGCCAGGGCTACACAGAGAAACCCTGTCTCGAAAAACCAAAAAAAAAAAAAAATACAATCTAAAAGTCAGACATTTGGATAAGTCAAAATAGCAAGACATTTAAACAAAAATAGTGAAACAGAGGACCATAAAAAAGGTCCTAAAATCAATAAAGACATCAGCTTGAAAATACCAGCTTAAAGAAATATTTACAAATACAAGAGCTGCATAAAAAATTGCTCTATGCATAAAAAAAAAAACTTAAAACATTGTGTCTTTATTAGATTCGGATACATAATAGGCCACGCTGATCAGTGAGTACAAGCAGCCAATCTCATGTTTGTTATATGTCTGATACAATTAGAAAGGTATTAAAAACATATCCCCTTTTTCACTAGGCACTCTGGGGCTGCTCTACAGGAATCAGATGATTATGCAAACATGTGAGAGTAGTGCTCTTTCTAGTAAACAAGTTCAGAAAGGATTGAAGGCCCAAATGAAGAAGCTGAAGAGTTATGGCATATCTGGATGCATCACATTAAATAAAGAGGAGAAAGAATCACTGGTATGAACAAGAGAATTACAATATATACGGCCAAAAGTTTCACAACAACAACGAAAAAAGCCTGAGTCATATACAACAAAACACTGTCTTGGTCTCACTGTAGAATATTTTATGGAAAATAAAACAAAACACCGAAGTTTTCGACATTCAATCTGTCTGACCTAACATTTTGATATGTATTATTCTACAATTTCTACTTACACACATTTTGGTAAGAGAAGATATTAAACATACAGTTGGGTGATCTTTCTCCCTCTGTGTGTTTTATAATTAATAAACTATTGTAACAGTACAAGAAGATATTTCTACTTAGGAAACAAGTTTTAGCTTGATGACACTCGCTCCTGTCCTCCTACCTTCTCTGTACGTTACTGTACTTCAACATTTGTCTGTTCTATTTTTCTCATGCATGTCTATGTATGTATGTGTGTGGTATATGCATATATGCTTGTGTATATATACACATGTGCAGGTACACATCCATACATGTGTATTTCTAGAGGCCAGAGGTTGATGTCATGTGTTTTTCTCAACCATATTTGTCTTAGTTCGGGTTTTACTGCTATGAACAGACACCATGACCAACACAACTCTTAGAAGGACAACATTTAACTGCACTGGCTTACAGGTTCAGAGGTTCAGTCCATTATCATCAAGGAGGAAGCATGGCATCACCCAGGCAGGTGTGGAGCAGGAGAAGCAGAGAATTCAACATCTTGTTCCAAAGGCAAACAAGAGACTCACTTCCAGGCAGCTAGGACGAGGGTCTTAAAGTCCATGCCCATAGTGAAACATTTCCTCCAACAAGGCCACACCTCCAAATAGTGCCACTCCCTGGGCCAAGCATATTCAAATCATATTACTCCACTGAATTTTTTGAGTTATGCTCTCTCCTGAATTTCTAGCTCACCAATTTATCTAGATTGGCTAGCCCCAAAGATCGCCCTGTCTCTGTCTCCCAATGCTGAGATTATAGGTATGAGCTGCCATGCCCATCTCTTTATATAAGTATTGGGGATCCGAATTCAGGTTTGCACACTTGTATGGCAGATATCTTACAGAATGAGCCATCTCCTCAAACACTATTTGTTGTGTAACTTTTTTTAAAAAAATTTAAGATTTATTTTTATTTTTTAATTGTATGTGTATGTCTGCATATGAGTGTTAAATATCTGTAGGGGTCAGAAGAGGATATGAGATTCCCTAGATCTGGAATTGTATGTAGTTGTGAGCTGCCTTAAGTGAGTGCTGGGAACCAAACTCGGATCCTCTTTAAAAGTTGTACACACTCTTTAACCACTGAGCTATCTTTACAGCATCAAACTTTTTTTAAAAAAATATTCATTCATTTTATTTAAATGCATACACTGTAGCTGTCTTCAGACACACCAGAAGAGGGCATCAGATCCCATTGCAGATGGTTGTGAGTTACCATGTGGTTGCTGGGAATTGAACTCAGGACCTCTGGAAAAGCAGTCAGTGCTCTTAACCACTGAGCCATCTCTCCAGCCCAGCATTAAACTTTTTAACAGGGTGTATGTGAAGGCATGTGTGCACGTGTGACTGGGCGGGGATTGGGAGTGAGATTCATAATAGCATGAGTGTAGGGTAGAAGACAACTTTATGGAGTCAGATCTCTTAATGGGTTCTAGGGATCAAACTCATGCCTTCCAGTTTGTGAAGCAAGCTCTTTACCTTCTGAGGTAGCTTGCTAGTCTCACTATTGTATTTTATTTATTTATTTATTTAACTATCAAAATCTCTTCACTAATCTTATTCATCCTCTCAGTGTTATGACAAGATATAGGCACACACATATAAGACACACATTCAGTAACAGTATTTGAACAGAGATTCGTAAACAAGGACCTAAGATGGAAAATTTAAAAGTCAAATCAAGCCGGGCGGTGGTGGTGCACGCCTTTAATCCCAGCACTTGGGAGGCAGAGGCAGGCAGATTTCTGAGTTTGAGGCCAGCCTAGTCTACAGAGTGAGTTCCAGGACAGCCAGGACTACACAGAGAAACCCTGTCTCGAAAAAAAAACAAAAAACAAAACATAACAAAACAAAAAGTCAAATCAAGGAAGGGAGTATAAACTGCAGAAAGGAATTCCCCTCCATATATTCTATTCATTCATAGATAGCTAGACAGATAAACAGATACACATGCACATGCTCAGGCTGACCTCAAATTAAAAATCCTCCACCTTCAGCCTCCCAAATACTAGAATTTTAAGCTACCACATTCTGCTTTTTAAAAATGTTATTATTATTTTTTAAATTTTATGTGCATATCTCTGTGAGGGTCTCAGATCTTGGAGTTAAAAACAGTAGTGAGCTGCCATGTGAGAGCTGGATTTGAACCTGGTTCCTCTGGAAGAGCAGTCAATGCTCTTAATCACTGAGCCATCTCTCCAGCCCCGGTTTTCTTTTTAAATTTTACATATTCTGCTTTTATTTCATTAAAGAAAACATCTTTAAAGGACCAGAACATTAAAAATCTTTTACTCAGCTGTATTGTACTTTCAAATTATTAATGTAACTTATGTAATCACTAACACTGTCCAAAAGAATATCAAACATTAAAGCCAAAGGCAAAGCCTCAGACTAACTCACTGTTGTGTTTGAAGATTCGAATGGTTGCTCCTGACAGTCTGGCTCCTAGAACCAGTGACGCATGGTTCAGCTCATCACTCAGAATCAGGCAACCCTGCAAAATCACAAACACAGGAAGGAAAACTGCTAATAAGTATTAGTGATAACTGTTTTTCAAAGATGCTTTAGAAGCAGATGCAGAATCCTAGCCTATATATAACAGTTTCTTCACCCTGTCAACTTAATTATCCATATATATAGCAACAGGTTCTTACAGCTAAAATCTGCCAGACTTTAAAAGGTTCTAGTATCTTTGCTTAGAGAGAATTTTGATGGATCAATTTGTGAGAAAGGGCAGCTGTAGAAATGGTGCTTTTCCTTCACTATTTGATCTCTAGAGTTCAGGGAAGAAACTATTTATAAACCCCAAATCACATAGTATTCATACTGTGGTTTAGCCTCTTAAATCCCTGAACACTATTTAACACATAAATTAAAAAGAGCAAAGCCTGATACTTTTGGTGGTTTATTTCTTCCCCACTTCTTACTCTTACATATCCCATGGGACTATTCAACCTAATTAAAGAAAATAAAACAAAACAAAATACAAAAACAGGTTTTTGTCTTTCAAAAATGGCCTCAATAGCTAAGCGGTAGAGAGCATTTGCCTAGCATGTACTAGGCCTTGGCTGTATCCTTGACACCACCATAAACAAATAAATGAATGAATAAGTAAATTTCCATATGAAAATCATCTCCCAATATTTCGATGGCCAAAACAAAAACAACTCAAGCAACAAAAAAAAAGGTACTCAGAGCTGTGTGTGATGGCATCCTCCCTCCTTCAATCTCAGCTCTTGGGAGGCAGGGACAGGCAGCTCTCTGAGTTTAAGGCCAGCCTGGTCTACAAAGTGAGTTCCAGGCAGCCAAGACCTACCGAGAAATCCTGGCTCTACATAAATAAACAAGTAATTTTTTGGCAAAGATTTATGTATGTATACATATATGTATGTATGAGCCATCTCTCCAGCCCAGTAAGTACAAATTTTTAAAGGAGATACTATTGTTGGACTATTATTACATAAATAACAAAGTATCTGTGGGTCTATACTGATATAAATGGAGAAGAAACAACTCTACCATAAAACTCCAATGAATAAATATAGAAGGAATGAGAAAAAAAAATCACTCTAAGAATACAAAAGCAGGGCTGGAAAGATGACTCAGCAATTAAGAGCACTGACTGCTCTTCCAGAGGTCCTAAGTTCACATTCACACTATAATTGGTGTATGAAAATTTAATAAAATAATGTTTTTTACATAGTGCTCAAGTTTCTCTGCAACTTTAATAAGTAACTACAAAGGGAATAGTAGTAAGTTACAGAAGAAAAGCTTGTCTTACATCCTAGCCACGTGACCAGGGTTTATCTACATTATTAGTAATATATGCACACTGTGCACCTGATACACACACTGGGGTGGATGTCACTTCTGTGGTGTCCTTCTGCATAACCCATGTCAACAACTGTGACTACTCATGCTGAGACAGTCTACAAATAAGGAGCCAGAGAACACTCACCCAGTGAGGAAGCCAGAAAGTAGACACTGGAGGAGACTGGAAGCTACAACAACTGAATGTAGTGTGGAGCCTCGACTGAGCAGGGGCAGAGAGTGGAAATGTTTAACAGTAGACAAGAAATATGTTCTGCATTTGTCAGTGCACTGTTAACCTCTAAGCTCTGGAAAAGGCTTCAGTGGTAAGTAAGATGCTATCACAGAGAGAAGCTGAGTAAAGGCCATGCAGGGACTCTGAACGCTCTGGAGCAATTCTGTGAAGGCTACAATTTTTTTTAAGATGTATTTATTTTATGTTATGAGTGCTCTATCTGCATGAACACCTGCATGCCAGAAGAGGGCATCAAATCACATTACAGATGGTTGTGAGGCACCATGTGAGTGCTGAGAATTGAACTCAGGCCCCCTGAAGGGGGCAGCCAGTGTTCTTAACCATTAAGCCATCTTCCTAGCCCTTCTGTAAGTCTAAATTTAAACTACTGGGAGAAGAAAGGTAGGATCTCTCTTCTGTAAGTTATCAGAGTCTATAGTACTGGGCCTGGTTCTAGTGTTCTTTAAAAGCATTCTCCCAACAGACATAATTTCATTTCCTGCTCTTTCCAGTCAAGTAAAATCTGCAAAGCTGTTTTTCAGATCCCCTAGTCAACATTTTTAGGTATCAGCACAGCTTTTTTTTTCCTCTTTTTTTAGTCAGTCTACTGTGAGTTTTTACTATATTATTGGTTCAAAAATAAAATGAATATGAACTATTAAGAGGTGACATCTAAGTGCATCTGCCTCAGGCAGTATCTTAAGGCATTATTTTGTTATAACATATGAAATAGGTTCTGTCATTAGATTTAAAGGATTACTATCCTTAAAAGATCAAATAATACTTACTACCATTTCAACTATAATTTGGAAAATTAATCTTTAAGTAGTACCTTTCATGTTAATACAGGAAAAGTTTAACTCTAAACAATGATTTGTTCGAGTTCATAAGCATACAGGAAGATGCAAAGGTCATTTACTCTTCTAGTGGTAAAAACCCTGAGAATGCAACATGTGAGTCAGAACTTCAGGTTTATGCTGCCAAAATGCTGAATACTGTAACCAATGTAAGGAAACACATACTATGTCTTTCAAAGAACTTGTTTACATTGTACGAGCTGCTGAACAGGCTGTGTCCCACCCAACACAACTTTCTTATCCTTTAAGCCCACAGAAGTATCATTAAGTAAAGTATCCTTTAAGTACAAAGAGGTTCCTTCTCCATCCTGCTACTGGTAATTTTGTCTCTTCTCTTTTTATCCTGGTGAGTCTAGTTAGATTTGGCTATTTTATTCATTTCTCAAAGAAAAACCTTCAGTTTTACTGGCTTCCTCTATAATTAACTGATTCTCTATTCATTGCTATTGCATAATTCCTGTTTACTTAGTTGGGTTTGGTCTGCTCTTTTTCCAATGTTTTGATTAGTTTGGCCCACAACATGTAGGTATGTGTACCATAGTCATGCTTGCTGCCAGCAGGATCGTGAGAACATATCAGGTCCCTAGAACTGGGGTTATAGGTAGATATGGGACACCATGTGCGTGCTAGGAATCAAACCTGGATCCACTGCAGAAACAGCAAGTACTCTTAACCACTAAACCATCTCTCTAGCCACCTTTTTATGATTTCTTAAGGTAGAAAAGCTCCACCCCTCCCTCAAATAATATAAGCTAAATATACACTAAGTATGTAACTCAGGGAAAAGGCGCACACACTTAACCTTAAGACCCTAAGTAGATTCAGTGTTTTCTATGTTTACCTGTACATTGCCTTAGTTTTAGCCTGTAATCTGTGATGTTACATTTCATTGATTACTTTTTGTTTTGCCTTTTTTTTCTCTTTTAACTTCCAAAATCTATGTGAATGATTTCTGATTAAACTGGACTGTGGTCAAAGAACATACTTCAGTAATCTAATATTTCCAAACATATTAAAACTTATTTAAATACTAAAGTAACAATGTATTCTGGTGAATATTCTGCTGTTATTGGGAAGTGTTTGGTAGGTGTCTAGGAGATTATCAACTTGAGAATGCTTTTCCAATGTTCTGTACCATGATGATTCTGCTTTAGCAGAGCACTAACTACAGCTCTGTCTCTCTGTCCTCCTTTGAGTTTCATCAGTTTTTGCTTCCTGTACTTTGAAGCTGTTATCAGGTCCCTAATACATCTTGATCAATCAACTCTTTTGATTAATATTAATATTATTCCTCATCTTCACAATATTCCTTAGTCTGAAATCTGTTTATACCATCAATATAGTAACTTCTACTTTTTCCATTAGTTCACATGCTACATCTTTTTCATATTTTTCTCTTTGAAGGCTAGAGATCAGACCCAGGACCATGTACATGCTAAGCACACACTGTACCACTAGGTTGCAGAGTTGCATCCCCAGATATTCTTTATCTATTTTTGACACAGCCCCTGCTCCCCAGCCTATGTTGATCTCAAATCCCTGGAACTGAGAAGCCCTCTTGCTTCAGCTTTCTGGGTGGCAAGGATGGTAGGTGCATGCCAGTGTGCACTCTTCATCTTTTTACTTTTAATGTGCATATCTTTATATTTCAAATAGGTTCATCTGATATTATGAAACTTACTACTTTTATCTCATCTGAGAAGGTCTGCCTTCTACTTCAATGTACAAATAAAGCAGTTCACTTTGTGATATCAATACACTTGGGTTTAATTCTCTTGCCTGTTATTTGTTTACTGCTTGTCTCATCGGTTCCTCACAGAATCATAGTTATACCTTCATTTGAATTACATTAATCCACTAAAAGGAAACTCTGAGGACCAGAAAAATGATGTGACGTTCACAGTCGTAGTTTTGAGCATATAATCAACAGACAGGCAAAACTCAAGTCTGAGGTAATCCACTACTTTTGTCAAGGTGCCATTTGTAAACATAAATGCTAAGATAAAAAAGAAAAAGAAAAAGAAAACCACCTCAAGGTTTCTTTTTAAGCTGACAGCAGCTACACTCACAAAGCATTTTATCGATGCTTACTTTAACTCTCACAAGTTCTATTACAGGATGAATATGCAGAGATAAGATATAGTCACATACAAAGATATGTTATCTTTAGATATAATTTATCTAAATAACCAGGTAAATGTACTTTCATATTTTTTTACTTAGACAAAATGATTACCTTTCTGAATGATTAAACTTTTCTTCATACTTTTGAGTCATTTGGGTTTATTTTCATCAGAATCCCTTTGAAAAGAGGGAAGTACCATGGGTCCTAGGAGTAAAGCTTCAACTGGTATCAGGTTTGTAGGATTTACCTGCCAAAAATCTGTGATGGAGTATCTTTGTAAACTATGCTTAGTCTAGTCTTAATAAGAGCTGCTAACTAGGAATATTTATCAAAACAGAAGAACATATTTCTAAGAGAACTGCCACAAATGATGCTGTCTTACTTTGCCAACAAGAGCAGGAATGTTCATTGAATTTGTTGCAAATCCCATGCCATAGGTCATAGCAGCTTCCACACCTAAGAACCTTGCTACTAGTTTCTCTAGTTCTTCATGCTTGTCCAGGTTTCCTGTATAAAGAAGTCAAGTAATAAAATCAGTATTATAGTCTCAATTTTAAAATTATTACTTTATTAAAGAAAATAGGACCAGTAAGATAGATCAGCGGGTAAAGGCACTTGCTGCCAAGCCTGACCACCTGAGTTCAATCCCTGGAACCAACATGGTAGGTGGAGAGAACCAACTCCTAAGAGTTGTCCTTTGACCCACACCACACACATGCATCAAGCATACACAACTACACAAATGTAATAAAAATATTTTCAGTCCAGGTATGGTGATACATGCCTTTAAATACACACACACACACACACACACACACACACACACACAGACACACACACAGAACAAGGACTAAAATTCCATTTATAGATACTGTAATCCTTAATACAATTAGTGAAAAACAGAACCATACACATGAGTAATATCAAAAGGTGAACTGTGTTCTACTAAAGAGATCTTCTGACAGGGCAAGAAGCAGCTCTGTGGTAGAGCAGATGTCCACATGTGTAATGCCGGGGTTGGGATTCCAGCCCCCCCAAAAACATAGCCAATTTGGAATGTCCTTATAAAAATAATCAATAAAATAAGGTCAATGGGATTGAGCTAATAACACCGTGGGTACAGAAAGAGACATACACAGAGCAGGTACAGAAGATGACAGTGTCTGACACACAGGGAGACAGCCATGGGAGCATAGGCGAGGGAACACTGAGGATGCTAGCAAGCAACTGGAACTGTCAGTGTGAGCATGGCCCTGCTGACACCTTGACCTCATGCTTCTATCCTCCACAACTCCCCATTTCTCCTTTGTTGTCATAGTAGCCTAGGAAGCCAACAAAGTTGGGAACTTTGAGAGTCGAAAGGTTAAATCTACGTCATTAACAAGTAGATGATGATTTGATAAGAAGACGCACACTCAGTACATGAACTCTAGAGAGGCTTAAAGTGAAAGGCAGCAGCAATCAAGGCAGGCAAGGGTTAAGGGTGGGCTACAGACATGATATGTAAAACACGTAAGGCCAGGCATGGCAGAACACATCCGTAACCCTAGCACTGGCAGAGGACCGCTAGCTCAAGGTTAGCCTGGGCTATATGGCTCCAAGACTGCCTAACATGCCTAACAAGCCTCACCCCTTACTTCCTACCCTCCCCCTCCTGAAAGAACACTCACTCTTACTGCTGACGAGACTATGCAATAGTATAGCTGCTTTAGGAAACAGCTCCAAAAGTTAATATAAAACTACCATGTAATCTAGCAAAACCACATCTAAGTACATACCCAAGAGACATATTAAAATGTTATTTTAAAATGTGTTCTTGTAACCCAAAAGGAGAAATAAAGCAAGTGTCCATCATAGATAAATGGATAAACACAATGTGGTATATATACACAACGTGCTGTTACTTAGTCACAAAGTAGAATGGCATGCTGATGCAGTCTATGAAGTACTAATGCATGCTATACATAATGTTGTGAATAGACACAAAGTGAAAAAAGCTAGAAAGAAGCTAAAATAACTTTATTCTGAACTTCTGGGCTTCAGATATTGAAGTGTGTGTGCAATGCCAGGCTATAAATGGTGAGGAAGGGCAAATTTATAGACAGGTTTGCACACTCAATATCTCAAACGTAACAAATGAAAAGGACAGGAAAGGAAGACAATTAGAAGAGAGAGATCAAGAGTTTGTACATGTTTTTAAAAAGCAAGAGCTGAAGAAAATGTCCAAGAGGAGATCACGGAAAAAGCAATGCCTGTTAGGAGGGGACAATCACAACAAGGTATGACTGGAATCTGACACATTAAAAAAAGGGGGGGTCTCAAAAAAAATCAAAGAAAAAAGCTTTTGTTTTTTGTTTTCTTTTTGTTTTTTGTTTTTTGTTTTTCTGAGACAGGGTTTCTCTGTGTACCCCTGGCTGTCCTGGAACTCACTCTGTAGACCAGGCTGGCCTCGAACTCAGAAATCCGCCTGCCTCCCAAGTGCTAGGATTAAAGGCGTGTGCCACCACTGCCCAGCTGTGGAAAAAGCTTTTTTTAAAAAGGGAAACACACATTTTTGTTCTCATGTGCAGAATTTAATTTATATGAACTTTATCATATGAAAGTACAATGGGGCTATTGGGGGAAGAAGGGATGGAAGGAGGTAAGGGAAGAAAAGACAGTAGTGGAGGGAACAAATATGAACATACAAGTATGTATGTATTAAATGTATTACGATGTAAGAAGGAAATTTATTTTGCATGTTAACTAAAAATATTAAAATATTTTAAAGCTTTGAAGAATATGAAAAACAAACAATTGCCCAGAAAAACAACAGCAGACTTCATTACTGCAGGAAGAGGAACTAGATCACATCAGCAAACACATCTTTCTTCAGATGTCTTTGGGTACTTTGGGAATTATTAAGCACGCTTATGTATTATTCATCCCCATCGCAGGTTGCTAGACAACAAGTCCTTTTGGTTAGAAGACTGGAGAGAAGGAATGTCACAGAAAACCTAGGAACCTGAACAGCACCATACCTGACAAGCCACTGGTACCAGACAACAAGGTGGCAAGGATCTCATTCCTCACAGGATATTTTCAGCCTTAAATGTGGCAGTACCAGAACTATTAGTCAAGTAATACATTAGATAAGACAGTTTTGGATATCAAATTTCAATCTACTACATACTCAGGAAGACATGAGCTCTACCAATAAGGGGATTTGTCACTGAAAGGAATACAGAATACAAATTGGACAAAGGAAACAACCTTCCACATCCTTCCCCGGCCGCCCCCCCCCCCCCCAATACCAGAATGTAACTGTAAAGCAGTCCTGAAAACAAGTATTTCCAACTAAAGCGGGAGACAGGACAGCATTACACCGGAGAAATAGTGAAGAGTACCCAGAAGGCTACAGTAAAAAACCAGAAAAACGAAAAACACATTTCTTAAGTTCCTCCTCTTGAGCTTGCCTGGGACAGTTAGATTTAAGATGTGGTAAAGATCCAACTGAGGCTCCTCTAGCACTAAACTGGCACGGGATCCAAGAAACAAAACATACACAATGTAACTACAAAGCATGTTCTAGAACATGCAAAAGACCAGCCCATTTTTTTACTTTACTGAGCTATTCTTAGCTACACTTAGCTATTCTTAGCTACACTTAGGACTTTTAGATCAGAAATGTCCATATTACATGTAACAATACACTTAAAGAACAATGTCAAACAAAACAAAAGAATAGAGCCAAGCCAGACATGGTGGCACACACCTTTGATACCAGCATTCAGAAAGGGGAGGCAGAGACAGGCAGATCTCTAAGTGTGAAGCCAGCCTGACCTACATAGTGAGTTCGAAGATAGCTAGGGCTACATGGTGACACCCTATCTCAAAAAAAAAAGGAAAAAGGAAAAAAGGAAAAGAAGGGAAGGGAAGGGAAAGGAAGGGAGGGGAAAGGAGGGGAGGGGAGGGGAGGGGAGGGGAGGGGAGGG